ACGCTCAAATCCTCGCTGGACATATCCCGTCAAAGAAAATCTTAATAGGGCCGTCTCAGCTGGTTCGGCAACGAATAACTGCATGTTGTCTGCCAGTTATATAAGTGATCCTCTACACCGATTGGTTCGTTACGTATTGAAAAAAAACTCCCACAAACTATACCAACAGATATAGTTCCCATGTTCGTCTCCATCTCTTTCAATGTAACTGGCTCAAAGATGGTGACTATGTACAACGGCAATGTCAGTCATGAGCAGAATGAGCAGGTACACTGCAAGCAGTGCTGATAAAGATCAGTAACAAAACACACTTCACCCGGATAGATGTGTACGAGTCTACTACGCGTCATACTAACGAGATAACATATAGTGACGCTAAACAAATTTATTCACATTTACTGGGCGATAATGAACTCTTATGCCATTGTAGCTCGTCCAACTTATCGACCTAGTTGCAAAGAGCGAAGCAAATCGTCCAAAAAACAGAGGATTTTATCTGTCCAAAGTTTGAGTTCACTGGATGATGGGACGACAACGCTTGGGTAACCGAACCAGACAAACAATGAATTTCCGAATGAAAACAAACATTCACTGGAAGAAGCTAGAAAACTAAAGAGCAGTTCGATTGGGAGTAGACTCTAATAGCCAGTGAATGAAATACTGTAATTTCCGAATGGACTCATCGTGTCTGCTTAGAGTAGAATAAAAGTAGGAAAGCACATCATGCTTCCTACCGCAACAGAACTTATCACGGGCTCATTCCACACCCTCTAACAATCCACTGAAAAGTTTATCAGGATCCAAGTTCCCCAAGAGAATGAATGATAAGACGTCATGGTTCTGCAACGTATTCGTCAAACCAAACCAAGAAATGTTGTTGTTAAATGAGTGGTACTGATTCTCCCGCGCATGCCATTGGACTAGCAGTAATCGCTTCATGATTGGCGCGGTTCGTTTGATGCAATTCATGCTGCGTTACGGTAGGGGTATCCTAAACTCGGTGATTGAGGAGCCACTCACTCTGTGGGATACTGAATGTAGGGTATAAGGTACGAAAGTATGTTTCAGCAGATATTCCCAGAAAATAGCATTTAACGAGGTCTAGATTTTTATTAGAACAGTTTTGGGGGAACATTGACGTCCCGGTCGCCAAATGATATTCTAGGAGACGTATCCCTTCTTCCACTCATTCACAGAGTTGTTGGCACTCCACGGTAGCAATACGTCACGAAAAGACTGGGTCTTAGTGAGGTGACGGCTAGTGTGCCTACGTTACTCATAGAGCTATGCTCGGAAGTGTCCATGGGACAATAGCACAATCTTCCATACCAGCTTGGTTAATGGTTAGGAGTCTGACCAACACAATCGACTGGTCCTCCAAGTTGAAGGCTGGAACATGTGCGGTAACTTGTTCCATAGAAACGGTAATGGACCACAGTTCCCCGCCAAAACATCGCTGCCTTGTGGTCCGGCTTTGGTCAAGGACCTTAAGAGTCCTCCTGTCTAGGTGTGGGCACCCTGGCGGTATGCCAGCCCATATAAAACCATGAATGGTACACATATAAATAAAATCATACCACATCGGCTGGGTTGCCTTACTTGCTGTATTCAGCAGAGCGGGTAAACGAAAACAGGTTACTGCTGATGCCTATCTTCCTTCTCGTTCACATGTTTTTCACTGCCCTCTCCCACCCAATTAACCTTCTCCTTGTAGACCCCTCAGTTAGAATTGATGACTCCATTCGCTCTGAATCGGTTTTGCGTGCAACATCTGCTCATCACATGGCACCGACATCCCCAGGCATTTCCAAATCAATCTTCAAGCCTGGACACCCAGTCTATCTGGCCGCATTCAATGTCCGCACTCTGAAACACGCAAGACAATAAAGTGCTCTCGCTCTCACACTGGACTCGCTTGACACTGATGTGTGCTGTGTATCAGGAAAAAGAATTCAAGATACGGTTGAGCTAACACTCCATTCACTCTCCTCTCGCTTCCGGCTGCGTACCTCTGGTGATCCAGAGGCTGCTGCAGCGGGATGCGCAGGGGTGGGTATCACCCTGAGTCACTAGGCGGAAGTATCCTTGCTTGACTGAATACCTGTTGTTAGTCGACTCTGTGCGGTTCGTCTGGTAACTTCTGTGAAGGAGCCTAACAAGCGGCAAGTCGTTAGATGTCTGTTTATCGTGTCCGCCTACGCCCCAACTGACTGTAGATCTGATACCATTGAAGAAAAGCTTTACGACGCCCTGACTGACCTGCTGCAGCGAGGTTTAAGCTCAGATATAGTTGTGGTTGCCGGAGATCTGAATGCACGAGTGGCCACGCTTAACGCATCTAGGGCTCAATTAGGCGATCGACACCGAATGGATTCGGCAGATACGGACAATGGCGAACGATTGCTTTAGCTATGTCATGACCACAGGCCGTTTTTATGCATCACAGACTTCCGAAATAGCCGAAGTCGTCTGTCAAGATGGTGTCCTCCAACGTGTCATTGCCATCAGTTACTGATGACGCGGATGACTGACTGCAACTCGTTTCGGAACACATTAGTGGATTCCCAACACGCGCTCCTCCGGAGTTGGTTTTCCCTACGTTTCCCAGGGCCGCGTAAGGTGAGGACAAATTGTTTGGCAACTGACAGACGGACATATCCGGATGTCTGACGAATTAGCCAGAATCGTTCTCCAGAGTCTCTTCCAACTGCTCCATCCTCTGATGTGAATTCTTATCGCGACGAGATCACCGCCTCTTTGCACAGTTCTCGGAGTTTTGCCTGTGGCATGGCGCTACTAGGCCCACTCAAGCGTTAGATATCAGACGGAATGGTGGCATCACTTTCATCTTGGAGAAACATCCCCGCCAGTCCGAACATAACTTGACCCGACGAATTGTCAGACATCAAGTGAAAGTGAGCGTGCAAACTGCCAAGGAAATTAGAGACCCGGACATCCGGGAATACTCGAAGACTATTTCAGCTGATCCCAGTAACCGGCCCTGGAAACCAACTGGGTGCGACACCATCAAGGATCAGAATGGAACGGTCGTGTTGGATAAAAAAACGTCTCGATCATTGGGCCCTAACACTTCAAACAATTATCATTGCCATCAATTCGCCACTCAACTGGGGTCCAAAACTGGCGTAGAACCCTAGACGGTGAACGTGGAATACCATATGGCCCCGGAGGTTTATGACTGCATATGTTCTGCGTTATCGATCTTCTGGTCCGAAAGACTTCCCACCCTGAGTGTTCAAAGATGGGACTGAAGTCCTCAGACACCGCTTGTATGATCAGTTTGCTTGCACAAAGGAAAAGGAGAGTCCCAGACAACTGGGGATAACCGGTGATAGCACCCATTCGCAAATAATAGGCCCGTAGCGTGCGCAGTAATCACAGCTGGATCAGCTCGATCCTAGTCGTAACGAGACTCTTGGCATCTGTCCGTCAGGGGTGCCCATGCCTATTGAATTTCGTGACCGGCGAGGTAATGAGACAAGCGCTTGGTCCTCAAAACCCTGGCGCTTAAACAGCCTCTGACGAAAAACTTGTCGACCTAGAATATGCAGATGACATCGTTCTCGTCTTCGAAGAGGAGAAAGCGCAGGTGTCTTTGTGCGAACTGGCAAAATCCATCCCGATTTTGGCATACATTATACACCCACACAGTTTAAGGTCATGCTCCTGGATACGCCACTAACAATCCAGGGAGAGCCACTCAAAGTTGTGGAGCATTTTATGTAACAAGGAAGTTGTACTAGTTCTGATTTCAGTGAGACAGATGAGGTCAACGCAATGAACTCCCAACTAAATCTCAATGGACCGTAGTAGATTGGTTTAGTTTAAAAGGCTACTATGGTAGAGACTGCACACTCTCAAAGAGTATATGGAAACCTGCTTGTGGGAAGATTCAACAGATACCGCTGTGGAGGAAGCACCATACGGACATCTAGTACATTAAGTATAAGTAATTGATTTCATTCAAGCAGACACAATTCACGATTCTAGCCATTTTAGCATGAAGACTCCACAAGACTAGCCGCACCCTCTAAGCGGATATCATACACAAAGCCGTCAGCTGAAGTAGGCCCGAAACGACTTCCATGGTTCGGATAACACGGACGAGGATATGAAAATCGCGGACAAGTTCCTTTAGGTCTACTACTATATAATAAAAAAGGGAATGAAAAAATAATCATTCAGCCGTAATGCGCTTCTCGGTGCCTAACTGCCATGTCACCAGATGGAAGAATGAGGGCCGGAATAGTGGCAGGTTATCCACGCCTAGACAGGAGTAAAGGAGATGCGCAAGCTGGAGATGGATATCCGAGTCAGCGATTTCTCACCTTGATCGCCGAACCCTCGTGAGCTGTGTACTAAATAATGCTAATAGCTGCATAACACCAATACGATCGATTCACCAAGTTCAAGAATCGGATTCGGTGAACTTTGCCGAAAGATCTGTAGTTGAGCATTTTCAAAATTCGTCTTATCGGCCACCAAATACATTTTAAGAAAGAGATGAATTCAGGGCACTAGGTGCAACAATTATGCCGTTCATAGTCCAAACTTCAAGTTGCAAAAAAGATCCGAAGGAGAAACAGATAGCCGGAGTACAGGGCTGTCACGAGGGATGCCAGCTGAACATTTGTCGCATTCAGTAAAGTTTAACTACAGATTACGGAATCAGATGAAGTTCACCATTCTGAAATTCACCCATTTGCGCAGCTATTTGGTTTTTACGGGTGACTCAACTGAATCCTAGCTAAATGTCTGGTTTATGATGTTCTTTTTCAGCTATGCTGGCAAATGCTGTGCCAGGCAGCCTCATGCTTCAAATGATACGGTACGACAGTATCGCAGTACATTGCACAGACGGAGAATACTACCCGTTAGACTACTGAAAACCCTTCGACAGCCCACGACCGGTTTAATAACTGACATGTTCGTCTTTTAAATATCGGGAATATGATCAGGCTGAAATCTACGGTAAACAACAGGTGGATCATGTTTATATGGTCGAATTACAAACTGAAAGAACAAAGTAAGAAAAAAATTTATTGAAAAAGTTACAAATGGGCATGAGGGAAAATTATGCAGTTCTTGTGATGTCACCAGCTGCACAGATTGTGGACGCTGCGCACGTACAATAACCTGCCGTATGCCACATGATTAGCTGTGTTCGACTTCATGAATTTGTGTTTCTGGAATACACAGGTGACATATGCGGGAAATTCACAATGCGGTAATCAGAAGAGAGGTATAGTTTTGATGAATGGGTACAGTCATGAAACTGGAATTTGGTAGAAGCCAAAAAGGAGATAGTTGCAACCCGCGCTGCGGGCATCATATCCGAAGAGGAAGTTTAGCTCAATGAAGGCAAACGTCAGTTGATCGCCAAACTAATAGCTGAGAACGGCAACAGAGGGGGCAAGGATGGTGGGAACTGTGTCGTACTCAGACTGGGTTGGGCACATTCGACTAGCTTATCCGATCACGATACCTCAACATATGGTAAGAGTAGAACAGATATAGATTATCACGTGAAATCTCACATATTGTCCAGTCTGCATCGAGCTGAATAATAACTGCGTTTACGACAATTTCGAAATCGAATGGGTGCTTTACGAGAGTCATAGTACCACGAATCAAGGCGTCAGGGCTTTACTACTGACATTTGACTCGTCGCAAAGTATGGTTAGCTAAGCAGTCTGAGGGAGAAGTATACTCTTCAAAAAGATGGCTAAATGGAGTTAATTCTTGTTCTCTTTCTTAGCCATCGGTGCGCGCCAAAGCGGAACCATCGGAAACGGAAGCTATTGTCATTATCCATGTAAGAAGACTAGGGTATAAGCAAGTACTCTTGATATAAGAACATCAGTATGAGAAAAACGAAAACCCATACTGACGTGCAAATAAATAACGCCATTCTCATAAAGGATATCAAGTAGGCACTGTCTGCAATTCTGATAGCTCAAGCATGGAAAAATACCAAAATATGGAGTTTTTAAATTGGTGTAGAATTCTTCCTGCAAGTTAGGCCAATCTATGTTGAAAAGTCGATAAGCATTGTACAACTGTTTCATCCTTGGTGAGGATCATCAACAGTGTGCATCCTATGGAAGTCCAGAAGGTCTCGAACCAGAGACTTTCCGGCTACAAGCTTCAACTCTTAGTCTTTTTTTTATGAACGGTTGATCAGCAGTGCAATCAGCACTTAGACAGGGTATAGCGTCACCCATTCTTCAATCGCGGGATTTACATCACGTGGTCACAGGTTTTGACTGGCTCCTCGAGCGACGACTTCTCAGATGAAATTTTCATTCATCGGGTAAGTTTATTCTTTCTCTGAGCTACCCATAGGTTGTTAGTAGTGTGAGGAAATTTTCCGTGTAAACATCATCCTGTGAGTGAGGTCAAACTATGCCGAAAAGCCGAGAAGCACTGCTGATGATCCGGAATAAGGATGAAACAGCTGTACAATGCTTCTCGGGTTTCCGACACAGACTCGCCTCATTTACAGAAAGAAATCTACCTAAAATTTTGTTATTCTGTACAAAAGGGTAGGAGAGCAAGAAACCACTTTGCGGAACGAACACTCTTGTATCTCCCGAAGATGGTATTTCGAGTAGGGATCATGTTACTCGGTGCACAATACTGTGGACATCCTCTAACGCATGTCCATCTGACCCGTTGTATTGGCATTTTGTAGACGAATTAGGTTTTCAGTGAAATGTGCACTCACAACCAAGCGAACTATAGGTTTTCACGAATAACCCAGCTAATCGACAATGATATAATGACGTTGGTCGTGTATTCACTGTGCTCGCATGTCCGGCAGAGGCCATAAACAAGCCACTCGAAGAACCCGATGACCTTTGAACTGCCATTAAAATGATCACTCATTGATGCAACAGAGGCGACAAAATGTTTTTCGACCAATTTTAGACAGGCCTGCTTGCCTATGTTGTGTTACCTTGAAGAGCTGTTGGGAGACGCTTTGCCTGAACGTTGCTTACCAAGCTGTTTTGTATATTGTTCAACGGCGGCAGCTGCGTCCTCCAGCTGCCTGATCTTTGTGTCAAACTCATCCAACTTCCTCAGAGATGATTTGAGAGCCAGATCTAAATAGTGAGACAAATATAAGGACCACGGTGAAACAAATGAGACCGAAAATGATGAGAAATAGCTCGTTTAAGGCAGGCCGTTCAAAATCCCAGATGCTTGTCATACAAACAAATTAGATAGCAACCAGTTGAAGGGTAGCTCGGCGTGCGTGCTAAGTGCCCCGCCACTGCGCCAACCAATGAACAACATTTAAATAATCTTCGATTAGGCAGTAGTGGTAGCATCCAAAGAACTCAAGAATTTGCCTAGCTACTACAAAAGTAGGATGTCAAAAGGAGTAGTCAATTTCTAATGAACTCATGAAAGACTGATAATCTGCGTTGAATATCTATTCCTTCTACAACCTATCTTGTCAACCAGCTATGTTTCGTTCACATCACCAAACCATTATCTCATAATAAATTTCCTGCCTTAGCCCGTTCATATAGTTACTTTTGCTGTTTCTGTTGTTGGTATTTTGTTGTACTTATTCGCATTTCATGTTACGAGAATGGGTAACCTAATAAGACGAAGCCGAAGTGAAATAATCATCACTGAACGTGTCTAACAAGTTTGGCGACGGTGACGAACCATAAGTTATCATCAGTGTGCGCTTGGGTGGGTAATTTATCCTTAGATGCGTGGGTTTATGTAGCTTACGGAGAGATAACAGAAGCTTTTACAAAGCTATATTACCGCATGTAGGTAAAAAGCAAGCATCTACCCAGTGGAACACTGATGATGCCTCTTGGTTCGGTGACGACAGGTTTGGAAGCCAATCGCCGACCATTAAGATAAAAGACAATAGTTCAGCTGTAACACCATTTCGGTGCCTAGCTGCCATGCAACCTGAAGGAAGCATGAGGGCTGGGACAATGCGAGGTAGCCCAAGCCTGAAAAGAAGTCGAGATGCAGAGCCCGAGTTAGAACCACGGACCTTCCGGTCAGCAAATTCGCACTGTGCCGTGGCAAGGGTCAGGCGTCCAACCAATCCGAAGGAAAAAGGAGGTAGTTTCAGCTCACAAAAGTCTGGACAGAAACAACTGGAAAATCAAAGGCGGGACGCAGAAGGTAACCTGTGACAGCTACTTTCGCATTTCTGCTGTCAAGAGCCTTAAGAGGCCACGGGAGAAAATCGAGCCTCAAACAATGCACACATTAAGAATATACTGGCAACTTTATTAATGCCTCCATGACTGATGGAAGTCTAACAACAACCCCATGTTTAGTCCAAGTGTTCTGATGAGTGTAAAACACGTCGAGGTTCTTATCACACTTGTGTAAATCCTGACGACAGACCAAGACATTTTCAGGATTTTGTCGCAACATTTTAAGATCTTGTGATACACCATGTGTGGAGAAAAGCTGGCGAAAGTTTTCATCATGGACAGCCGATCTAGGCATTTCAGTGTGTTTCATTTCATCCTGACAGAGTGACACTGCTACGAGTAGTTTATGATCTTACCCTCACCAAAATTCTACCTTGAATAATATAAAACAAGGATATACATATTTTCCAAAAATGCAAGCACTAGCCTGTTCTGGGTGCTGGTGGTGTGAAATGGTAGCAATGAAAAATACGACAAACTGTGTGGAAAGTCTACACAAAACCATCGCTTCGCGCATTTACTGGAAAAGACTGGAAAGTCTTAACATGAAAGAGGTGTAAAAACCAAACTGTATGATCGTGATATTTACATTCGAATGTTCGTGGCCACACAAAGGGTTCGGACGTTCCAGTGATGACCAGTCTAATGATGATTCTGGCAAATATTTCATAATGGCTAACATCTCTTCGTGAGATCTGGTCATGAATACTCTCGAATGTCTTTAAACCACTTGCGATAACAAAATGTGCAAAACTGACGAAGGTCGCGAATAATGCAACAAAAATTGAACTTCACCTGTTACCCACTCACATCGTTCATTCACGTCGGTTAACTTTCGTGCAATCTCATTCGCAGACCCGTTCAGTTCCGCAAAGTGGTTGGTAGATGCTTCGTTTAAGCGACGAAGCAAGGAAAAGTCCAACAGGGTACCTGCAAAACACGGGCATATGATGGGAAAACCGACACCGTCCATTAAAGAATAGTTCATGACACTACATTTTACGACGAGGCCTTTGGAAGAAAACAATCTACAACCATATCATTCACCTAAGGATTTCTTCCAGTAAGTGGCTGCCAGGCAATTTATTAGGGATATGGGATTTGATGTACCATCTGGGTGTCAAGTGATCGAATAAGCAGCCCCCTCAGGCCAGAAGTTCACATCTTAGATCTTTGGGATAGTTCTGATGAGAAAAACAGATAAACCGGAAACTGAATGCGTTTTCGAAATCCAACGTAGTATTTCGTGAAATGCAGTAACCTGGATTTAAGGTAAAGCGGACTGGTGATGCAAAACTGTTTAGTAAGGCGGGGTCTATCGGTGGTTCGGAGAAAAAGAACACAGAGTTAAAGATAAGCACTTAAAAGGTATTCCCCTAGTTTCGTGTGTAGATGGCTAGGTGAGAAGATAATGAGGTACAAGCAATGCGAAACCGACTTTGGTTTGCACAAGGCTACGCAGCGCTAAGTGAAGGACAATCATCCATTCATAGGGATAAGGCGTTTGCCCTGCCCAAATGGATACAAAATACCAGTATGTACTTGAGCACCAGCCATTCCATTTGCTATCATATAGAGGCCAATCAAGTAAACCGACAATACCATCCCACATCAATTTTTGTTGGTTGATTCAATGGCAAATCAAATAATAACAGGTCTAGCCATACCGACTATACATCGTCAACGCACAGCACTCATATGATCAGCCATTTGAATTGTGAATCAAATTCCCTCTCCTACCAATAGAAAATATCTTCGCAGATTCCTTCCGCGGCTGAGGAGTACTGCATGTTAACAGCAACGACCAAAGGCATGACAGACCATGCGCAAGGAGCACACTGAGCAAGATACCACATGAAAACCAAATAATTTGCAACGATTTCCTAAACATCCTGGAAATTCTCACTGAAAGCAAAATTTCATGTGCGAGATAAGAACCAATCTCGACAGATTCACGTTCGCAATGTAAACAATGTGTAATGACCATTACCGCTAGCAGATACGTCGACGAATAATTTTCTTGCAATATTTTCGAGCACCTATTACTCGAGTTTCACACAAATCAGCCCAGTTTGATGCATAAAACAGGCTGGACTGTACGGCTTCAAGATTCTTTTCTCGGTCGGTCCTATAGCAGAAACCGATTTGGCACATAACGTTTAGTGACTATCTAAGACATGATTAGTTGTTTGTCCCAAACCATCGATCGCGGACTTCTTCATTCAAAACATGGCCGTATTTTGAGAATAGTTCTCAGACGCCAATGTCTGAAAGCCCCAACTTGTGAGTGTCCGAGGCCAAGTTTCGCAAGCCGTATGGCCGACTGACAGATTCACAGCTTCGTTTTCAAATTAAATTAGTTTCTGCACCACACTCTTTTATCAGTGTACAAGCAAGTCGTGACTTTCGGCTTAACCTGGCCTTTCGGAAGCACGGTTGTGCCAAAGTACCTGAACTCTCAGACGTTCTCTAGCGCCATTCCGTTCATTGAAAACGGTCTGCCGGATAAAATTGCTGATGGGGAAGACACCTTGGTTCTCCAGGCGTTGATCTCAAAGTGACGGAAAATGCACAGTGGCAGATTCCATTAATGAACTGTCCTAGACTGTAATCTGCAGAAAGGCAACTATCTTGTCCGTGAGTCCAAGGTCCATGACCAGTACATTATGCCAACCCCCCACTAACACGGTGTCCGCTGACAGCTTGGGGAAGTATCCAATCAACTGCTAAGTTGTACAGCATACAGGACAGCGAAGTCCCTGCCAAACCCCGAACGACAATCAGGTTGATGATTTTTGCCACAAATACGGGCAAATTGTCTTGTCATGGTAGTAGTAGGACTTCCACAGTCTAATTAGCATCGTACGGATACAGTCCGACCCGAGTATGTTCCACAGTGCCTCTCGGTTAGAAAAACTCACCGCCACCCAGCAGTCAATAAGACATTTGGCAGTTGGTATTTGTGTCAGTGTTTGGGGACCCGGCATGTATGGTTAGTGTAACCTTGAGGGTGTCTTCCGTTAGCGAAAGGATCCACGAGAAGGATGGTAAACATCTAGGAAGCTACATTAAATAGACTTATACCAAGATTGTTATCACGAGCAGACTTGTCATCTCTTAGGTGAAAAGGCATAATAGAAGTGCTCCAATAGGATGGGAACACTTTGTTGTCAGAGACTGCACAAAATAGCTCATGGAGCGGCGCGAGGACGGTAGTGTACTCCTTTACATCTCTGCAGAAGTACGGTATTCACCAAGTGGTTTGCGATTTTTCAGTCGATTGGTTGTTTTAGTGCGTTCCTGTTTTGTTGGAAGGCAACATTCAGCGTCAAAAGGCGATTTAGATGACTCAGTGATGGATGCAGACGCACCCCGATACGTGTGACTGAATCGGTTACAAATTGAATTATCCAAAATCAGTTTGATTATGATTCGTTTAGAGGTGACGGAAGTCTTCTCGCAGGATCACCATACAGTTACACTCTTGAAGTCACTATATCTACTGGTTTTCCTAAAAATCCCTCTCCGGAAGAACGGGCCCAAATAAATCAAAGCTAGCACCAGATAACCACATATATGTTATGAATTTTTCCCGCCTTTTACCAAACCCCTCCCATCTCTCCGAGCGCCAAGAATCTCTCTGAATACCCGATCTCCTGTGGAAACGAGTGGAAGAACACGCGAACACTGAAGGCAGGTTTCATACGAGATATAAGCAACTTCCACTTGAATCCTAGTGGGAATCAAACTTCGGTGTTTAATCCCGCAATTAAGGTCAACCTGCGGCGAAAAACTGAGATCTATATACCCTTTTGATCTCTGTCAAATAAATTGTGTAACTCACGAATCTCTTAGAAGATTAGAACCGGCAACCTTCGAGTCATTAGACAGGATGTCTTTCAACCACAAATGACCAATCAGCATTATGAACATACTACACTTGGACACGATACAGCGTCACTAACCTCTAGAAGAATTTTAGTCGGCTAAAATTCCGAAATTGTACTATGCTGCTAGACAGAATCAACATCTCCCAAATGGTCAATTTTTTTTACTTACCTTCTACGTTACAGTCGAGGTAACTTGTTATGGCTGACAAAGTCCTTTGCATTACATGCTGCTCCTTGGAGATTGGGGAAACGGAACTCATAGGTGTAGCACCCGTTGAAGCAGACGACTCCAACGAACCTGGGGTATCCGACATGGTTATAAAAAGGCTTTAAAAGACGAAATGGTGGCTGAAATCATACAAAAAAGTACGGGAGGGTGAATATTGGGAGGAAAGTTGTGATAATGCACGATAGTTTAGACTAAGGGGCTCCAAACTATGAAATCACAGGACGGCTCCAGTACGCTACTATTTGGTATCAGAGTTAAAATAGTTGTTCTTTCTTCTATGAAATATCGAACCCGCCAAAGAGAACACCATCAACTTGAAACACGGGATCAGCTTAGAGAAAGAAGATATAATGGAAAGGAGTATGATAACTGGATCAAGGCTGAATAGAGAAGCAATGGTGGGGGGGGGGTCAAATAGTTTGACAGCGGACCCTTCGTGTGACTCCTGAGTGTGAGTGGATCGGGTGATTAGTCTCGGAGGATCAAGCTTAATTGAGAATCTCCACGACATACCTATTAACACAAACCTGCGTATCGCGTTGTGTAAACTCGTGGGACAGTCGAGTCCTGAAAGAGCGAGATGAGCTTTCAATGAAAGCCTTTAAAAATTTAGACGAATTTATGTAGAAGATACCTTTTTCCGGCATGGGTAGCTGAGCGCAGCACATGGAACGTTGGTGGAAACAAAAGCCGACGCAGTAAAAAACTCTAATGGTAATCCCCGCCACTTCAGCACTTCGCTGATGAGTCAAGGGACTCATAACGTCCAGGCCCACTTTTGGGAATAATTCCAAATTTTATGCCGCGGAAGGGCTGGAACCCCTTCAAAGTATCCACAGAATAGGCGTAGAAGATATCCTAATGATACATACGTACGTATTCATATAAAATGACAGCCAGAAAAAAGTCACATCCACAAAAAGGATGAGGGACGATTTTTCCGTCGATTTTAGTGCACGCGGATGGACATTTCTGAACGTCCTCTGTGTGTCGGTTGACCGATATCCATCTGAGCGCAGCCTTCCTTCGGATTAGGCGCCACACCACATCTATCAGTGTCTCTTCATCTCCAAGGTCTTTTGGATCTCAGCCAAGAAGTCCGCATAACTATGCTTTCCACAAGTCATCAGTCAAGTTTTCCATGTTCATCCCTCATTTCAGAAATTGCCCATCCTTCGTTCCCTCTGCTCAGGCCGAGCACATACGAACACGGTAGGGTAGATGCTGTGGTAGAATCAGTGTACTGAAGTAATGATCCTTAGTGACAGACTGGACATGCCAAGTACCATCAACATACTTATTGGAACCTATCGTGACGTTGCCACCAAAAGCGAGAATAGTATAGAATATTGAACATTGGGTCAAAAGTTCAAAAAGTTTCGTAACCAGGCAGTAACACTGCATCCACAGAAATATTATATGGACAGTCCTAGGACCTGAGTGCGAATTGATCACAATGCTCATCACCCGCTTGTGGCCGAACAGTTTTGTTTAAATTACTATACAGAATGTCACGGAAATTCCTAAAGTTTCATCAGATGCACAATGCTGACGACTCTCCATCAGGATAAAACAAATCTGCTTTGCTTTTCGACTATTTAGCACACATTCACTCCACTACTTATACATTGGAAAACTCCAAAATCTCTTGAGACTACTTACGTGATATACTTGCCTGACAAATACCGTCTGAGCCCATATGCTCTGTCGCCGCACGGTTGAATCCCTTCTTGAAGAACCTTTCCTATTCTTGCCATTAATCGTATCATGCTTCAACTCGTGGCCAACCTTAGTAAACCTATGTGCCAATTTTACATAACCGCAGTGGTGCCAAGACGGTTGCTGCCGAAATGAGTTCCAAGTTGAACGAGTTGGGATGCTGTGAACTGCACAGTGGATATGCTGAGGAATGTATATTTAGTCCGATGCTCCGACCACTAGGGGTGTCCTTTATTTCTGATCCAAGATTGATGGCTAAAGACTTGTGGGTACTGGCCACGTCGTAACTTTTATTTCTAAGCACTAACACACTTCCGAATGCTAACTCTATTTTAAACGCACAAGGCGACTAACGTCCCATTAGCCTGAGAGACTCTCATGTCCTGCTTTCGCTCTTTATATCGGGCAGCAATATTTAACGCTGCGCCGAACATTTACAATAAATTTTTCATAGTTTGAAGGCTTAAACTACGTAATGTTAATTTCACACCTATGGGCACAAGTATCGCCGGTCGACTCATCTGTTTTTTGTCCAGCACAATCCTTTTGCACCTTCCTGCTCCGCACACCAATAGGCTACTTCCACGTGACAGAAGCAATGCACTTATGCTCATGTTCCTTATACAATGCTTGTACCTAATACTGCAGGAGTAACCGCGAAACGCTGATCTTAGAAAGTATAAAGGGAATTGGTACAACTTAAAATGGCTAGTATAAGTACGCGCCACATGAACGAGATGACGGGTGTCAAGGTGGAATTAAACGGCTGACATATCTTTTCGTTCACGCTAATTTCACTTGGGCTTCTCATTTCAGTACTCTGAAAATTATATTCATATTCATGCTTCACTTGTAGTGACATTCGAACTGTGCATTCCGCTTCTTTGCTACAAGAATATATCGGATAGTGCTTTGTGCACCCGTTTCCGTATATGAAACTGACGTACCGACGTACGCCGACACCTTTGTACCTCCTCGACAGGACTGACTGACTTCTCAATTGTTATGCTGAACTGTACATCTCATCATTCCATTTCTCACTGAAGATCTCTGTTCCGTCACGTCACTAGCCGTTATCCCTCCATTTTCGCCTTGATTGTGGTTTACTCCAAATGACGGTTAGGCCGCAAATTTACCATAAAGCGATTCACCGGTGATTTACACATTCACGATGGTAGCTCCACCCGTAGTCTTGAGTACAGGAAACCGAAATTTGACCACCTTTGTGGCGGGAACTCAAAAGCAGATGAAGCTTTAATCTCTTGTGTCCAGTGAGCTGTGAGCTAAACTGTGGATGCCATGAAGATCTGACTAGATATTTTCCCAAAAGGTCATATCACCCCATCTCAGGAATTCCAGGCAGAAAATATTACGCTCAGTCGAGTTGCAGACAAGAGGAAGACGGGTGTCATACAATTTATAGAAAAATTTATTGAAAGGCCGATCAAGATAAGATATAAAACTATTGAAAAATCGCAGGGAAGATTATGAAATGACTAGTCCTTTTTGTGGGTCCATTGAGGCATTGGTTCTTTGTTTAGGAAAGCCTGAATGCCTTTCTGTGCATCACTCAGTTCCAAATTTTCTAACATCACCTGAGTGGCAAGATCATACGATTCCTCAATATCCAACGAGGCCTACAGCGGAAGCAAGACGAAACATACGAGAGGTCTGTCTAGGCGGCTTTTTACAATCAAGCAACGATTGATATGCGGAAAATATGATAAACATAGAAACGAAATAACTTCCAGGATGCAAACAGTTCGTGGTAGATTGAATGACCTCAACTCTAGTCGGAAAACACCGGAGAAAACTTCCTTTCTAGTCTCGATTCCACACAAGCCGCGAAATCAAATTTTATTGAGAACTAAGGCTTTTAAAGAATCCTAGTTATTTGTGTCAAACAGGGTCAGAATACTGGGTCGCTAACTTCGCACAAAGTCCCCAATCAAGTAAATCCTGCTACCAGCTGTTTTGTGAGGTGGGCTTTTGAGTCAGAGGCTCAAGGCACGCTACTGCAAACAAACCGCCTACCTCGGTCTGGGGAGTGTCATAAGTTTACCAAGCTCCACCGGTACCCCACTTTTACACCTGTCTAGTGCGATTTTCCCATCTTTGGGTGACCCGAACCATAGTGGCTGGAACCAAGGTACCCTTGATAAACGCTTTGAAAATGATTAACTGAACCGAAACAAGCAGTTCCAAAAACCGGACACTGTATGACCGCTTGAAAAAACTTTCTATTGAGACGGTGACTAACTTGTCCAACTGACCCATACAAACAAAATCTCCTTTCAAATTCGCATTTTTTACACTGGCTCGATATTTGTCCTTGATACACCACCTGATTTAGCAGCGTTTTTCAACGAAAAGCGAGGCACGGAGGTAAGCTAATGGTAGATCCACTTAAACATGTCACATTCTACCAATGCTGTACATATATTTGGTGAAGGTTGCTGACACATGCAACTACTAATTGGATGTATCGAAATTCGCCTCACCTGGGCATTAAGGGCCTGTTTGCCCATTATTAACACTGGTCGACTGTGCTGTGCGACTTCCCGGGCCAACTCCAACGCGGAATCAAGCACCTGCTCATCTGGAACAACGCGGTTCACAAGCCCGAGTTCGTAGGCTCTCGTGGCGCTTATTGCGCGTCCTTTGACAGAATCAATAAAGAAGTTGAAAATCCATTCAGGTTATCACGAAAAACAAATTAACTGAACTGCGAACTCGACAACAAGTAATAGTGAAACCGGAGAATTCGTAATCCGCCGTAACAGATTTCCATCAGACTTATGCAACTATCCTTCATTCCACAGTTTTCGCAGTCCAAGGCAAACGTCTGTTTAAACATGCATTCTGAGTTTCTCATTCCCCTTGGCCAAATAATGTGTATTGCATAGACCAACTGCACTGTTACACGATGCTTTCAAACTACTCTTGGGAGGCCAGACTGTGAAAGCCATTGCAAATCAGTGAAAGGGCTATCAATCAGTTGACCACTTGGGGAACTGTGGCGCAGTGGTTTCACATTTCGCCCCTTCTAAACTGAGAGGCCCACGCTCAAGGGACCAGACCCTCCCGATTACTTTCCACTGAATCGATGGGTAAAACGCCAAGAGGGTTAAGACGTTTTGAAATATTAAGACCTACTATTCACGAGCAGGAAAAACCTGTAATCATTAATGAACATCACTTAGCATATTTATCGATTTCTGTTTAGACATGGTGAACTGGAATGTCTAATTTTATCGACTACCCCTGGTATGCATTCCAGATGCTACACAATTAACAGGTTAGTAGTCCCATAGCGTACGTTTAGCATGGAAAACCACTATATAAGCCACGAAACGCCGCCAAAGCGGAGATTTTCTGGTCAACGATAAAAACGTTTCGAAATATTATGAGGCCAGTTGATCAATCGAAGCTACCACATGGCTGGTAATACAACTGAAAGGCTCAGTTCCATAGGCGATGGTGTCATGAGAAGTGGAATTTTTCTATCCTTCAAACGTAAAGAGAAAACCGTTTGGTTAAGTGTAAAAGAGGTCATGAGACATTTCCAATGGTGTAGCGCTGTCAACAACTAGCATTCTAAGGGTTGCAGTATGGACAATGGAATCAAATGACTTTTCACATGGTATTTTCCGCGGATACACTCGTCTATCACGTGCGCTGGGGTTCGCGCACTCTTCGATCGCTAGTCTACACGTACAGTGGACTATCGCGACTCGAAAATCACCCCGGGCTACACGCAAATATTACCCGTTCTAATGCGGATAAGTCTTTTTCATAGCAAAACAACGTAAACTGTTGGTTCTATTTTCAAATCGGTACTGTTACTATGATTGGTCCATTATGCGTGAAAGTGTCAGTAAACTTAAGCTAGTTTTATCCAGTTTTGGAATCTCAACTGTGGGTTCCATCGGCATACATGGCTACGAGATAGCACCGTTCTGCAGAACCGGTGCAGAACGGACGGTATACGCCAAAATGCTTCGAAATGCGATGTGGATATGTAGAATGACCTACGTCTATTCCTTCTACGTTATACCGAGAACTTCTCAGCACTCCTTTGAAAATACCGGCCACAGATAGCTTTACGAGTTCACGTGAGGTGCACATGCACCCCAGTTATTTACCACACTGAAGCAAATCCTCAACATCCGGCTAGCAAGTCAGATCAAGTGTGCGTTGGTTTGGCCGACTGCTAACCCGATTGAACCTTGTAACTGGGTTAACTAAAACTGACTTGGAACAATGCGAATTGATTCCACACCAGTTTCGAAAGTACGTCGGGTATTCACGTTTATTACCTTTACTTATCTGCAGCTGGATGCACAGTCAACCGAAGCAAAACGAGTCAGTGACCTACCATTACCACAATCATGATTACCATTCGACTGAGTAGCATGCCCATGAAGTAGACCGATCGTGAAAAACTAATCCGAATGAACAGACAGATGTTTTCAATCAACTGGAAAATGTTTTGGACCGATTGGGAAGTCATCGTTTCAGAGGAGTTTGGTAAACAATCGGTGGATTTATTGCTGGGCAACGTTTCGCTTTTGACACAAAAGCTTCGTCAGGCCAAGTGAGTAAGTAAGCAGGTTGTTTGGGTTCTATGGCAGTCAGGGAATCAATCCGTGAGATTCCTTATGACTAGTGACGTGATCAGTGCTGGGTGTTCAGTCTGATGTTCCTGTTTGTTGATTAGTGGGGATGACTAAGATTTACGATAGATTGGTTAGGGGGGTTCGTCTTTATGATGAACCCAGATTTTTTCGTCCTTGCTTCTTCAGTCTAGGACACCTTAATGGAAAATTCCACTTGGGGTGGTTCACAGATTTCGTTCACCTGTGTTCGTCCAAGGGTGCTGGGACGATGGTTTGGGGATGGGGTGGTTAATTGGATCTAACTCTACCTGGATTTCGTACTTTTAGACCCAGGCGATTTCGCTGATAATTGCACACCGCCTCGTGTCATCTCGGCTGATCTGGGACCGCACTCCACACGTTTAAAAGTTCTACCCCCTCTATTCTATTCACACTCGGATGCTTGGCGATTTCCACCGCCTCGGCCACCGGTCGCTGTGGTGTGAATCTTAAACCCCGTCTCACGATGTCCACATTTTCTAAATCTATCTTACGCCCAGTGTCTAGAGCATGCCATGCCATTGCTGAATCTTTGACTAACGCCTGCCTCTGCGTTTCTCGGTGGACTGTTAATGGAACGCTTATGCTCACCGATCCTGGTGTGCAATTCCCCAGCTGTTTGACCTATATAAACCTTTACAAGAAGGCGATCCTTCAAATGCACCAACACCGAACGTAAAGTTTTCCCCTTCTGGAAAGCTACTCTAATGTTAGCCCTATTCAGTACCCTTCTAATGACTTCAGATGTTCCGCTTTGTATGGAATGACCGCTGCTCCGATCCACTCCTTGTTGGGCCATGGTGTTGGCACCGATATCCGCCTTAGTTGCCGCTTAATTAGACCCACTGGGTATCCGCTATCTTGAAGTCGCTTTTCCACCTCAAGTTGTGCCGCTCTTCGGTCCACCTCCTCTGTACACAGTGCTATCACTCTCCTAAACATTGCTGAGGCTATGCTAGCATATACTGCTTTTGGATGTGCAGAGGAGTAGTTTAAGACCGCACCGCCACCTGTTGGTTTCCGACATACAGTGGTTTTTTAATTTCCCACCACTCTTGTTTGTCATGCAGTCACGGAAAGCTAGTGTACCCGATGTGGATTCTAGCTCCATGCTAAACTTAATGTGATGGTCCAGTGTGTTCAGATGTTGAAAGAATTCGTTCACCTTATCCCACTTTATCACAACGAACGTGTCATCTACGTAACGCCAGAACACCCTTGGTGGACACTCGAATCCGTTTAAAGCTTTCTGTTCGAAGTCTTCCATGTACATGTTGGCCATCAGACTGAACACCCAGCACTGATCACGTCACTAGTCATAAGGAATCTCACGGATTGGTTCCCTGACTGCCGTAGAACCCAAACAACCTACTTACTTACTCATTTGGCCTGACGAAGTTTTGTGTCAAAAGCGAAACGTTGCCCAGCAATAAATCCACCGATTGTTTACCAAGCTCCTCTGGAACAGACAGATGCTTTATCCCCCTTCTAAACGCAAACAACACTTTGAATTGCCCACCGAATGACTCGTATTTTAGTGTGCTGGACGACGAAGATATTAGACGATAAGTCACGGCCAACATGAAGGATCTGAATGCAGCATGAAACCCCGTCGGCTTCGTGTGGCTCACAACCACATACCGTTTGCACCATAATAGAATTCGTCACCGAAAAAGTGAACAACATTCCAGTATAGAAATGAATGTACTTGGACCTGAAAATCGATGGAACAGGCGAACATATTCCATGGCAAACTCGGTACCTGGATACAGTGAGCTAAAGTAATACGCCATCCAACCTCCTAAAATAAAAAAAAGTTTACTGAGCTGGACCTTTCGAATGATTAATAGAAGAGTCAGAAGCTGCACGTCCGCGCGCTAATAGATGGCCTACTTTCGACCCCTCTATTCCTTTGTTCGCTTACCACCTGACAGATGTATTTGCATAAAGCAGTGTTAACGTTGAACATGTTATAGCTTTTTCGTTTTTTTATTCGCACACCGTACGCGTCGATTGCAGACCAATTTCCCCCTCCTATTTGATATGGGTTATAACAGGAGTCGCTGCATAGATGTCATTTACACCGGGATTTTTCAACATGAGGCCTTGAGGCGAAAAGTAAATGGTGGTGTGATTCGTTAACCAACTGTGGGGCGATACAGAGTGACTACTCTCAAAAGCCACTGGATAAGTTAGTCTATGAGTAATAAAAGTCGATGCGAATTCACCGAACTTACCGGTGAATAAGAGTTCCTTGGCTGGGCGCATTCCTATGGCACGAATTAGAGCAACAGCTGGTGTGCTACAAAACAGACCGATTTTAATGCCAGGAGTTGCGAACGTTGCTGAAGTACCGGCAACAGCCATGTCACATGTGGCGACCAATTGACATCCGGCAGCATGCGCAGGACCAGAAACTGCTGCGATCGACGGAACACGCAACTTCGCCAAATCCACCATCATCTAGAAGCATTGAGAATTAGGGAAAGGGTAACAGTTGAATAAGTACGAGAAAATTCATGATACTGGAACCTACAGCTGAAAGCCGATAACCGGAATAAGAAAATCAACCAGGTTAAAATTCAGTTTGTCAGAATAATACGCTGAGCTGCAGCATGCAAACCCTAAGTTTCAGCTTGCGACATCCCCGAGGCGGTTAGTGGGACCGGGACAAGGTACAAGACGACCAGCGACTTGTTGGTCGTCCAAATATTGAAGTGGGAAAGCAACTATGTTTCTAGCCATACAGAGAGCATGTACATGCTGACGACTAAATGGGTTAAGCAGGTAATCAACCTTATTCAAGTTACTTAAGGATTTTTTAAAATCGACAAGTTTATAGGGTGACTTCATCAATACAGCTTGTATTCTGACGGCGTGAAAAAAAAACAAATTTCCACCCTTCTCAGAACACACTGGCTATTTCGATAGTAGTCAAATCTGATCCGGAAAACAGGACAGATCTACCGATTTTCCGGACTTCGTGACACATGTTAGTTAGGTTTTTGGTGTGCCATAGCGCAGCGCCGCAGAAACAGACTTATTAGGACCTAGGAAGAATTCACTGAGACAGAAAGTTTGACACAAAACATCTCATTCATATGCAACCTGTCACTTACAAGACGCCTGGCGGATTGCACAATGAAAACGTTACTGCAGACTATATACACGAGACCCATTGCTGGTCCGGGATTAAAATGTGGTCAAACTGCAGGCGGATGTCATGAAAATCAAGTTTTCTTGTATACCTTACTTCGTATACAGGAAATTCAGCTCAAGACAAAGTTTCGTTTAACTTTTGCACAGCTTGTTCACCTATCTGTGGAAGGAAAAGGATGGAGTTCCTTTTTGAGATAAAGTGAGTCCCAGCTGATACAATAAGCATAAACTTCGGTTGGAAGATAGATCCTCATGTAGAGCTGAAGTATCAACGATTGCTCTGTCAGGAATGTTTAGATTCCTATGTCCACTGGTTCCTGAGGTAAAATGCATTGGCGTAAACTGCTACTAGAACCTGATCAACCATAACCATCGTTCCTGCCTTATGTAAGAATATAAGCTTGATTGCCCAACTGTTGAACACCGTCAGATTCCACAAAACACTGACAACCCTACTTGATAAACGAAGTATTGTGATCAGTTACCACCAGCAAGTATTCCACCATCGGTTTTCGCAATACTGTATTCAATTTTCACCGGTATCACCACATCCACCTGTCGTGAAACCGATAGGAATTGGGCATGCAATGGCTGGTACCCCGTTGGCGTCGGTTCCCGTACGACGAGCGCCAAAAGACCACACACATATATCCGGGAAAAGCAAAACGTTCGTCATTTTGATAACAGCCCGCTAACATCCATTCCATTGGGAACGATTCTTCTTGTCCCAAACATCTCATCGAGACGTGTCTCACTAAATTATTTCAGCCTACCTCTGAATTATCCTAAAAGTTGTATCCCCTTCAATATGATGAGCGAATAGACCTTATGCTAAGCCCATTTCACTGGCTGAACGCAGAGCTCAGGCGAAACGGATCATCTTGACGGATGCAATCACGTTCACATTAAAAGGCTACGATGGGAATGGAAAGTAAGCTGAAAGCCTTTGATCACGAATGTATACTGCCGACGTCCGAGCTTATTTGGTCGACTGGTATTGTCTTGGCCTACAGGGGACTCGTAGTAGCACAACTTTCGTTATCATCAGAGACGAATGCCTGCCTAGGATTCTAGAGACAACCACGGAAGAACAACTCAAAAGAGCATTTTTGTGGTTGCAGGGGAAATGCTCTTAAAAACAGGGGGTGTAATTTCAAATGGGTTTTCCACTCCCCATTGGGAAACATTGTCTGTATTGTGTAAGTACATACAAGGGTACGAAAATCTCCAGAGGGACAGTAATGCGAGGAATGAAGGCGATTGTGGAAGCCTGAAATGCAATGCTGAACTCATGAACCTTCCAATATCCCCGAAACCGTTTGATTTCCATCTGAACAGCCACGTGATGCGTAATAAGTCGTGTCTATGGGTAGCTCATCCAGATACGCAAAACAGAAAGCGATGCTACAATCACAGGCGACCTGAACTTAACGTCGGAACACGTGGAAAACGATCGGAAGTTGATTCAGCGAAGCGAGGATAACAGTCGTACGAGGGTCGAACGAGAGTTCAAACGTAATTTGGTAGATTAAACGGATCTTTGGCGACCCCGAGGACTCAGGTATCTAGATCGTCGTGTAAGGTAGATAAAACATTTAGGTATTGCAATAACAGTGTAAATGTCGATCGACCGAAAAGAATCAAACGTTCAATCGGATGCAAACGGTAAAATAAGTGAGATAAATCGTGAGCTACATTGAGCTACATAAATGAAAAATGCAAACGTGCAAATTCAATACAAACCTGTTGTTAACCTTTTCGGAGATCGATTCTAACGCACATACGAATTAATCTAGACAAGTAGTAGAGAAAACCCCTGGCTTTCAATTGGCAGCACAGGGATTAAATTTCGGAGCCAAAAACAACCCTCTGGGCCTATGAATCGAATACAAAACAAACTGGCATGAAGAATCAGCAACGGTGTGAACACCTACGTTGGAACAAGCGGAGAAGACTTCAGCCCATTTACCGGAACCTTTATCTTGCATCAGTTCTTTCAGGTCATGCCCGGCGGAGAAAAACCGTCCAGACCCACGGATGACGACAACACGCACTTCAGGCATTTCTTTCACTCGTTTAATGGCTGCGTGAAGTTCACGTATCATGGCTAGTGACAAGCAATTGGCACGCTTCTCGTTGTTTAGCGTGAGCACATGGACACCCGCATCCATAGCTTCAGTCAAAACTAAATGTGTAGGTTGTGTTGTAGAGGATAAGTGCCGGAACAAGCCAAAGCCACATCGTCCAAGAGGGACAGCAACTCGCCTTGTTGAAATCTGAAAAAGAATCGAACAGCCGTCTGATTTGTACCTATACGACTTAACGGTTTTCTAGTGATCCGTCAAACAAAGACCAACCACAGGAACAAGTCTAGAGTAGGGAACAAGGACTTGGAATGTCTAACCAGATTTCTGGACAAAATATCATTTCTCCAGGAGTGCTTTGCACAACTTGGAGTTTTCAATGCTTCCTGGTATAACCATCTATGCCACCAGTTTGAACTCGAGAATAGTCAGGACCAATCTGAGTCTAACTCTTACTACGTTAGCAGCCACCTCTCAAAAGCAGTCAGGAATTACGTCCACTAGAGTTGCAACTGCCTGTAAGAAACACACAAAACCCGCTAAATTTTAGCCCTGGTTGAACGCGACATCGAAAACAATAAACAGCAAAATTGGATTGCAAGCTTTTATTCTTTCATGCTTCTACAAGCACCGTATGCCTGATGGAAATGTCTGACCGCCGAACAAGTGGGCAATAGCAACTGACTTCAGTACTACTTTGTGTGATGGCAGCTCATCTTATGGACTCTGATAGATTAATCAAGGTTGCCGCGTCAACTGACTCAACACTATCCACATCATCCATAACTTCCCTGTAACCCGATTCAATTTGCCACGCACGTGGATTAGACGACAACTGCCAGAAGTTGTATCATTATCCCCGCCCACTGTACTACAGTTCGGTTGACGGAGCTTCCTGAATCACTCCGCAAAGTCGCAACTGGTTCTGGACAAAAATTCGTCCGATGAACTGTCAACTAAGTTCACCGGGACATCTTATAGCCCTTTGATATAAGAACCACTCCGTCCATTACACCAATTAACACTGCCTTTCTTTGGTTCGTTGATTAATTTCTTCCACAGTGAGCGAATACTCCCAACAAGAAAGTTGCAGCGACCTCTCATTCAGAATCTTTCTGCCTTGGCGAACAAGAGCAAACGTACTTCTGCGGCTATCTCCTGCCATTCGAAATACCGGACTCAAGGGGTTGCCATGAAAGACCATCAACATGAACCTGATTCTGCAATTGACAGCCTAAAACAGAAAATAGTTGTACAAGCTCGCTTATCCGAAGAAAGTTGCACCGGAACAGCGTCACAACTTTCCCAGAAAGTTTTTGTAGGTATTATCGAAACCCTACGGGTAAAAAAAGACTGCTTTCGAACTACGATTAATTTTTCGCTCATGTGCAGTTGTCGCATGTGTTTCACTAGCTGCTGGGGAGGCTCACACGCCTTGTCAGTTCAAAATGTCAGACCTTAGTGGATTGCACGGCCTCAAACGATTACAACCCTTTAGCACATAGAAACACCGAAATTAAGCGATTCACCATGGTTCTATCTTCACCATCTTCTTTCGAAGTCCCAATGGAGCAGACAGTGAAGACCCATAAAGCTTATTGTTCATCGGTTACAACCTGTCCAACAAACCACATTTCGAACCACAGCAATTGGTCACTTCCTTGAAAACACCCGCAGTGGCTGGCAGCACAAGCAATGCGGACGAGCAAATTCGCCGGGGGTTGAAGCACAGAATGAAAAAAATTGTATCTCAAAGCAATCAACCTATTCATTTATGAACTTGTTCACATTCGATAATGGATGAACGGCCGCGGTCCACAAAACCGAATAGGTCGCTTGTCTACTTTCCGTAAAATTATCCTAATTTACTTGGGTAAAATTACATAATGAAAGAGAGGATAAAACGGGAAAAAGACTCGGTGTTGGCCTACCACACCAGGGTGTGCCTGGATGTCCAACAGATCCACTACAGCCAGTCACACAAGGATCTTGGTAATTACACTAAATTCCAGTATAAGTGGTTCCTTATGAGAAGATCATAACACTGGCTGCTTAGCACTGGATAAGTGAAGTGCAGTGCTCCATATTCTCAGTCCTGGTCGTTTCGTTTGCACTATGTGAATCTGGTCGTCTCAGTGATTATTCACTTAGGTGAAGGCAGGACCGCAACACAGAAACAATGAATTATGTAACGCAAAAGCTCCAAACAAGGTTAAGCAAATAAACGACCCTCTGTGACTCTGGCGCGTGACCTATTGATTGCGGATACTGACAGTAAAACTATAATCAGTAAACCATAATAAAACCGTAATCAAAGCAAGCGCATGCGTCAAAGAAGAAGACACTGTTTAGAACAGAAGTTATCTTTGGGTCCATTAGTGATACATGTTAAATGGAGATGCAAATTGACACAGTGAGCAAGACAATTGATACATTTGTTAAAGGACAACTCGATATTGATACCCAGGGCTGAAATAGCCAAACAACGTTACGGAGTGTGCGTATCCTATCAAGAGCTTCCAGCAGTAAGAAATGAGAATAGTCACGAAGCTCTGAAAAAAATGAAGGCCAAACTTAGGATTTTCATGTGCACAAAACGGTAGAGTAATTTAGGCGTCTTACGTGAGTAATCTCTTCACAGCCTTTTAAAAACAAAAAAGACCCCATTCGGAGAGCGGGAAACGTAAATTCGCATGAGCTAGGGATCCGTGGCTATCCAAAATAAGAGCTTTTTGTGCAGTCTGTAGTGCTCCGCAGGAATTGTAGTTGTCTTCCTGAAACCTCAATCGCAATTCGTCATCAAGCGGCCTGATTTCCGGACCTGGTCACAATCTTCGAACCAATTGCTCTTTAGTATACAGCTGACTCGGGGTTGTGTATTCGGCCTCATACGACGACTCGAGGGAAATACCCATGTTTCAGGAGCGCACCTGAATGGCTGTAGGATCTGGAGTCGCATACGCGTGACCATATTTGACCAACCAGTTAACAATGGTTAAACCTGTCGGGGCTCCAATGCCCTCTAGTCTGCTCGATTGGATACATCAGAGGTGAGCATGGAATATGCTAGAATGTACAAAAGACGGAGTTTTTCGAGACTACTGATGTAACTTTGTCGGTCATGAATACTTAACGAAGTGACGAAATTAGACCCGAAAAGCCGAGGGAGAGGAAAGACAGTACTGTAGCGAAAGCGTACACATTGGTTGAAAAGGAGTTCAAAAAATAAAGATAATAATGACTAACAGGAAGAGAATTGTCATGGGTAATGAAACAGCTTGGTTAAACGGTGTCCACGACAATCCGGAAAAAACGCATTCAAAATATGTAGCATGAAAAAAGGACATTAGTCGTCCTCATGAGTCCAATCTGGAATCGGTTGTTTGTTCAGAAAAGCTTGAATGCCCATCTGGGTATCTTTCAGCCGCAGATTATTCAGCATTACTTGATTAGCGACATTGTACGCTTCGCTGAGATCCAAGTCAGCCTATGAAATAGATGGAGAAGCCACATTTACATAAGAGCTCATTAAACATTTATGAAATATGCAATGATTTAACACCTACAGGTGATTCTAACGTGGTCATAATGCAACTGTTTATACCAATTAAGAGGCGACATGTACCAATAAGGATGTTTCAGGTGGCTTAGTGCTTCATCGACAGGTGGTTTTCGTGGAACCGTGAATTCATTCTGTTGTTGTCGTTATTTTAGGCAGCAACACCGACGATGAAAGCGAGATTACACTATCGAACAGTGCATTCCTCTGTCTTCAACACTTGTCCAGACGAGATTAGACAGTACTGACCATCTAGTCTGCATCTTTGCCTCGCTGCCCGAGTGGAAAAGAGGAGTGGCAAGAACCTTGTTGTTTTCAGTGACTAGTTGTTCTTTTCTCATGCCATCAAACTAGTCAGGGCGTGCATGTTCTGTTTAACGGTTGTCGTCGGCGTTTGGTGTCTCATTTCTACCAGTGAGTTAGCTGGGTTGTCTGTCAAAGCAAAGGGCAGTTAACATTGATAGACTAAATTGATTTTCGGATTTCCAAATATATTACATCAAGCTTCGTGTGCTCGGATGGGACCGAGCTGACGAAGGGTGCAACATCAGCTTCCCAAACAATTCATACGATGCACAGCTCCAAGATGTGTCACTGGCGAATGATAGCATAGGTAGGTACTAGTGACTGGTATGTCAGAATATCCAAGTAGCGATGTGTAGCTCTTGGAGGAAACCACGTGACAGCAAGTGAGTGAGCAGCGCACAAACTGAGCAGACGGTTAGCAGTGGCGTTCAGCATACCGACAAGATGGTGTCTGAGATCGCCTAGCTGTAGGCGACAATCTCGACTAACCGTACATAATCCTCTCAGGAGGCTGTGAATTTTCCGAACTTGAATTTATCGTATTCTGATGAACATTGTCTTGTCACATTTGTTGATAACGGAAATTTTCCTTCGACTATTCAATTCCGAGGGCTTGGTTTCACAAATTCCTTGAGAAGGTAGGAGATAATATCACGATCCCTTTCTCTTCGCTAAATATGAGAGCTGAAGAACATGTATCAAGAACCAGCTTCTCGGGAACTGCTTGATGAACGAATGGCGTTTTGACCAGGAACGTCGAATCTGCAACTCTTTGGTCCCATTGCAACTATAGTGACACGCTTGAGAGGGCGGTCGGTCTCACCTGGGTGCAACAGCATTCGAACGTTCCCACCCTCTAGACTAAGTGCTTGCCTAGAGAAGATCAATCGCTTGTGACGTGTCTGTACTCGAGAAATGGTTTACACGTGTGTGACTTTTCCCAGATGCCCACCCTAAAAAGTAAGGTCCCGGGCGGCTGTCTTCGAGACTAGCCACATCTAGCCAAAGACCATCTATATTCAGATTCCCTGACCACTGTTGGTTAGACCGATTTCGGGAAGATATGCTACGAACTCGTATGAAACCAAAACCTAGGGGTACGCCTTATCAGCTTTATCAGTAGTGCGTGCCAAGCTGCAAACAAAACTGTCCCAACCGAGCTGTTACTGTGACGTATTCTAGGAGTTCCAGTTGAAGTAGACTATCCAGTCTCGTTCCATTCAGGTCAGCTGATCATATAAAAGCCATGTGTCAAGTGTACGTTGGTTCCAACTTCCACAGCTTCGGACATCGAAAAATAGAACAGGGCAGATGTATCCCAGCACTG